GAAGTGTAAAACAGGCTTTCTCCCAACGTCAGAAGGCTTTCCATTCATGGCATAGTGCGGAGAATGAGTTGCAAAAACGTAAGGCCAGCCAAGAGAAGCTGCTCCGACAGGGCCGATCTCAACAAGATCGCCTAAACCAAGTTGGTGCTGAAGTAGCCGACGCCGAACGCAAGGTACACCAGGCGCGACTACTCTTTGAAGATATGGGCAGACTCATGCGAGCTGAACTCGACCGATTTGAGCGTGAAAAGGTCGAAGATTTCAAGTCTTCCGTTGAGACGTTTTTAGAAAGTGCAGTAGAAGCTCAGAAAGAGGTAAGCCACCCTCCCTCCCCTCTCCTTAATCACTCCATGAAGCTAATAACGAGACAGTTGATTGAAAAATGGGAGACTTTCTTAATGCAACTGGATGCCGAGGACGACGAAACCGTATTTTACCGTCCACCTGTTATACGAACTGCCGACAAGGCCGGAGGTCGTGGTGATACTGCTGTAGACAGGGCTAGGGCCACTATCGATGAGGATTCAGACTAAAATGTATTTGTAGTCATTGAGCATCCGATTAATATCCGGCTAGAGTATTAGCAATTTGCAAGTTGATGATGACATATAAATCTATACAGGGTGGTACATATAGCTACATAAAACCCTCTACGCCACTAATCAGCGGGCAAATATCTCTAGTCCCCAGTCTTCATACACATGGGACAGATCATGAGCTGCAAGGCCGAATGTTCTACGACCTCACCCCCTAGATTGTATGTTACAGTCATCTCTTTCCATTTAATCCAACCCATTAACACGGTCGTAACCCCCTCACTTCTTCTTTCCACGCGATGGCGTCGGATCCTTTGGAAGCTCAGGCATATTAGCTGCGTAGCCAGCAATCAAATCTGCCAGAACATCACCACTTCCCGTATCGGTAGTAGCGTCTGCAGCCGGGATGGCTTTCTTAGCATTCTCAGGCATCTCCTGTACAGTCTCCGCCACAGTCTCCGTAGCGGAATCCCACGTGCGTCCGAAACGCTGACGGAAAGCGGCGAGTTTACCAGCCTCGTCCACCTCGACGTTCTGAAGGCTCTTCTCGTTAGGGTTCCAGAGCGCGTGGTTCCGCGTGTCCTTGGTGCTCTTATACATGCCTAGCGGCGACGACGTGCGCATCGTGTAGGTGCTGCCGTCGGACAGCTGCACGAGCTGTGTGAATGTGTAGGGCCGCCTCGGCCGCCGGATTAGTGTTGCGGCGCGGCTGGGCGTGTGCGAGAGAGGCGTGTGCGAGGGCGCAAGGTAGGCGGTTGATGTGTGTGTGTTTAAGAGTGAGAAGGGAAGGGCCGTTGTGGGACGCCGTGGGAGGGCGCTCGGGAGCCTCGTCGCCATTTTGGCGTCGTGAAGTTGAGGATGAGCTGTATCAGGTAGTTCGGAGGGCCGGGCAGTTGGTTGGATCACGGCGCACCGTGGCGAGGCCTATCCCACACTAATTCGAAGGACGAGAACCCGAGGATGTGTTGACAACCAGTACCGCCTTTAGAAATTCGTCTTTAGAATTCAATGCACACTTCACCTAAAGATAACGACGCTAGTACTTGTTGACTTCGCCAAATTTCTCGGCTTGGAGTTGAGAGCTTGGGAAATTTTGGACCGTCGGCTGGCTGACAGCCGGCCATAAATCAAGTAGCTCTAACATAGTACACCTCGGTCGATTACAAGGGGTCCTTACCTATTTCTTATCGCTTATCGCGCGTCCCCTGTAGGTATCCCTGTCCCGTAGTTCCCAAAAAGTTGCGAGCTGTGAATTTCTGACGACATTGCGCGCTGATCTTGTGCGTCCGGTGGACGGCTTGACTTTACACCAGGAGTCTAATTATTAGCTTCCACTCTCTCCTTTGCCATTCATGGGCTGAGATGCAGAGTATCCGTGGTCTACGGTGGGCAATTCAGTCCACGAGTCCACATCATACCTTGCTTTACTATCCATGTCGGAGCTTCATGAGCTCCGTCATAAGGCGCACGATAAAACAACCACATGAAGCCGCCAACATTGAACAGCCAATTACACTTCCAAAAGACAGTAAGGATACGTCTAGAACGGAATTTATAGAGGATGTCAAAAAAGTAGCCGAGGATAATGACGGCGACAAAACGATCAAACCAAGACTTAGGGATCCTAGTATCCTCGAAGGGCCAGCCAAAAGCAAGCATGATACCCGAGAACATCTCTGTAACTCTGTAACAGCCACAATGGCAAAGCTCCCGCACCCCGCCGTCGTCATCACCACCCTCGACCGAACATACCATGCCCAAGCATCCGCTGGTGTGCCGATCGAAGAAATGCGACACCCTATTGCGCGGGGTGTCACCGTCTCCTCCTTTACGTCCTTATGCATCCGGCCCTCGCCTCACATTGTGTTCAATATGACGCTACCCAGTACCATGTATGAGGCCCTCGTCGCGTGCAAAGACTTCAATGTCCACATCCTGGCCCCTGATGAATCCGGTGCGCGCGTCGCTAGCGTGTTCTCGCGCGGTAACCGCCTGCCCTCGCCACGCATCGGAACGGCCGAGTCCTCGAAATATGCATTCGATGTCGATGCTGACCTGGGTGTATTTGTGGGACTGAAAGACGAGGGATTCTGCCATGTCGAGATCGTGAATCGAGATGCGTGGCATGAACAATATCAGAGTGCTAAACAGCGTGGCCTTCGGCCCTCCGAGTCTTCGCACGGCATGGATTCTACTTTTCAAGATACAGAAGTCGCCGAGCCTACGAGACAAGTCCACCATGTCCCATACCTACATTCAAGAGGGATCCTAGAAGTGCTAAACTGCCGTTTGGTGCGCACGATACATCCTGATCTACCGAACGCCGGGCAAAATGTCATCATGATAGGCGAGGTTGTCGGTATTACATTCCCCGAGGAATCCGACGAGGAACCTAGTCGAACACGTGTCGCCTTGGGCTACGCCGACAGAAAGTACCGATCTACAGGCGGCCCCATTCACTCCGTATAAGACATGCTTCAGATAATAAGCCGCGACCTTCCTGAGGTAACAATCTGTACTATGTAACTAACCATAACAACCACCAGTATAGTACTAAAACTATAATGAAAAGTAGATATGCAGGGGAAGACCACCCAGAAAGAGGGCACGGATACTGAATAAGTATATAAAAACGAAGGCTCTACAGAGGTGGTGATAGCCCATTACTTCCCGAAATGAAGGCGGTTATAATGATGGCAACAATTTCAACATTTGAAAAGGTTAGCCTACCTATATCGATGTCTCTGAGATATTAAGGACCTCGCTACAGCATCGAGAGATAACCTTTTCCAGAGATCAAAGGGTACGATTCCCACCATAGATAGAAAAGGGAGTGGGCGGCATTATGCATTGAACTATTAACTAACTCATAGATAAATACTTGGCATAGCGATAACCACTGTACAAACATATTATAGCATATACGATAAGTTAGACAACAGTATATAGAAGAAATCTACTACTCAACAAGAGAATAACATGGTTCCAGATTTCTTTTCCGAAATTAAAAAGAACGTCTACACACTATGATAATGTAGGCTAATTAAGGTAAGTCATACGGTGGTCCTGAATCCAGTAATAGTGATTGACTTGTTCACGTTCTTTTCTATCTCAAGGCAAGAGTGCTTGCTAGCTAGTAGGACTCTAGTTCGGCTCTTTGCATCAATACCTATTTTCGTCCGTCTACCTAGCTCTTGGGCATCTCTCATAGTAACCAACTTAATTCAGTCACGTCACGTAGGTCGAAAGATCTCGGAAGCACTCCACACCGAGCGCCCCAGCCTCCAAACAGGCATGATCAAAGACGCAAGAGCCTTGACCATGGCCGTCACAAAGATGAAGAACAATATAGCACTAACGGCGATAATGAGCCAGACCACATTCCTAGACCATTCCGTCTTACAGTAGCCGGCTCGCTGGCAGATACATAGTGTGTCAGAACAAGAAGCGCGAAATTCTGAGCCTGTGCTGTTTGCGTTTGCTTCACCGTTACTCGCTGCTTCTCGTATTGGTCCGGACCTATCTGCCAGGGCCTCTGCGAAGGCCGCTACGCGCCGCTGCTCCCACCCTTCCGGAAACAAACGCAGAGTAGATGATAGTGCCATACCCATAGCTCCCCGCCGGCGACGGAAGTTCAACTTCGGATAGGTTTTCGAGTTCGACGCCATTGCGTGGCGGTTATGTTAGCGTGGTAGGTGGATAGATGGGTGATTTACGGGCACGTTATGGGAGTACTGTGATGTTTGCTTGATGTATTAAGACATTCATTCCGCTTTGACGCCCAGGGGAGAAATCTCGAAAGAGGTAAATGAGACGGGTAGCCGTGTTCGGTGATGGCGGGGAGCAAGTACGTTGAATTTGCACGTTGGAAAAGAAGGCTCAGTCCAGTTAGTTATATATGCACGCCTGCAAGCAGGCAATAAATATATAATCTTCGCCCCAAGACCAGGACTATAGTATATGATAACTGGGAGATAATAGAAAGACATATGATAAAGCCATCAGAAACAGGCCCCGTAGAACCACCCAGATATTGGTTATCTTTGCATGTAAGTGCCATCTCTCACTTGCGTATTAGGTAGAATGGAACATCCTCCTAGAACCAATCGATTATACAAAAAAAGAGTTCATACACAGGTTTCGAATATATAGCATAGCGACTTGTCACATATTTAAAGTGAACTTTTCTGTCTCGGCTCAACGGTAATCCAGCTTAAGCAACTTAAAAACACATGGGCGCACACTTGATAACCACCTCTCTCTTCTCCTAAACAACAATCTATCTAATACTCTCTCTCACCCTCACCCTTTTCTTTCATGAAGTCAGACTTGCCCCGGACCTACCCTGTAGTGCTTTGTCGACTTGCCTAACTACCTAACTAACTAACCTAACTGGTATAGATAAAAGTAAATTATAGTGATTGGTATGTTATAGCTAAATTACAAGGGCAAAAATGAATGACTTGGCTGTGCCAGGAATCGAACCTGGATCTATTCGGTATTCATTGGGGGCGCTTTTCGAACCAAACCACAACGAATTGTACTAACCATTATACTACACAACCATCGGGTGGATGATTCGCTGCCGTAGTATGGCCTACTATAACCCACACGAGGGAGGTTATGGTGGATACGCCATTGTACTGTATGCGGTCGTTTATCGTTTGTTGATTTGTTGAAAACTCACTGGATACGGAACGATGCCTTCTAGCTTACACCAGGCAGCCGAATATCAACCGCACTAATCGGAAATCCACCAGTATGGATAGAGTGTGGGAGGTACTCTAACTATCTCTTACTATATAGATTAGTGTATGTGCATCTGCGATTGGATTATATGATACGCAGTGGACGTCGAGTGTAGCCGTTGGACAGGTAGTATTTGCCTCATTGGATTGCCACAGGTCACGTAAACCCCTGTCCACAAGAGTGATTATTTCAGCCTCCATGTTTGCTGGCTACATGTACTGCATCAAGATTTGATATATCTCAGCTATGGTCTCACTATTATTACACACACTTAATCACTGGATACTACAGTAGTGAGTGTGTAGACTGTGGAAAAGTGCATTGTAGTAAATTCTACTGTAGATAGCACGAGCTCTACGATACCAATCTAGGTAAATCGCGATTGAACACAGAGAACCCTGGCCTGATTGTCTCGGTCGAGTACCTATTTTGGAGCTAAATATCCGATTTGGGCGACATCAACGATAACATGACGTCAACACCGTGATGTTGCGACGAACGACAATGCACAAATTGTGGCAGCCTAGACAGTTGCTAGGATGCGCCGAGGTATCGGGGTGAGGTATCGGAGTACGGCACTGTTCAACTGTTCGTACCCATGAATGAATTGATCGCATTGCGCATTGCCTCCTTAAATAAGTCTTAATTATACCTATTGATATAGAGTCAAATGATGTGGCTTCTAGAATAGTTTTTGTCATCGTTGAGAAAGTACCTCCTACCTAGTCTAATCCTGCCTCCATCAACTATCTAACCTCCTGTAGGCCTTTCTTCCCACCCCCACATCATCATCACCAACCATCAGTATCGTCATCACGACAACCTTTAAACCATTCATTAACTTGATATGTCTTATACTATCCCTGACGGATTCCACGTCGACCATTGAATACATTCCCCTTCCTGTTTCTATCTTTATATTTCATGTGTTTAGCTAGAAGCTGTTCCCTTCCTATTAGCTGCTAGAGGTTTCAATGGTTTCAGGGTGTTCGCGCCACGTTTATTTTCCATAATCGATCTGGCGATTTGGCGATTCTCGGGCTCGCGCGATTTACAATACAGCGAACGCGCACCGACGCCGCTACAACCAAGACCATGTCATCGACAAACATCGAGACGAATGGCGGTGTTCACGATCATGTCTTGCGCCCCCGTCCGCGCAAACCCCAGCATTCGCAAGTTGCCGAGCTTGCTAGGCAACGAAGCAGCAGCTCTATCGACGGTCTGCTCGACACTCCGCACGAGCTGGCCTCGAATCTGACGAGGTATATGCGCCGCGCCGCTACCGCCCGGTAGAGAGACACATTTCTGACTCCCTCGCAGTGGTCGTTCGACTCCCATACCCGAAAATGCTCCGGCCTCGACCAAAGCCTTGTCGAGTGTACGCAAGCAAGTTCGCGCTGAACAACGACAACGCCTCTTTCCTACTATCGAATTTGCCTCGCGAGTCTCCCATTTCGATCCTAACTCCGACTATCGCGACTTCCATGGCTTCTTCAATCTCTTCTGGGTCGGCCTGGCTATTATGGGCATTACTACCATGCTGCGCAACTACAAGGATACCGGATATCCCTTGCGTGTTCAGATCTGGGGTCTGTTCACTGTCAAGCCGTGGCACTTGGCCATTGCCGAATTGTTCATGGTTGGGAGCACAGCCGTCAGCCTACCCCTACACAGACTGTTCAGACAGAGCCGGGGTTCGTTGACCTGGAATAAGGGCGGCATGGCTGTGCAGAGCATATACCAAGTCGTATGGTTGGTATTTTGGATCGCCGTGCCTTTTATTTTTAACTGGACATGGACGGCCCAGGTCTTCTTCGTGCTACATAGCATGGTGCTGCTCATGAAGATGCACTCTTACGCCTTCTACAATGGTCACCTCTCAGAGACCGAGAAAAGACTACAAGCCCTCGACCAACCGGGCAGCGCCTCCAAGGAGCCCGCCTATTCGTACCCCACGGTTGAAAATCCCATGGGTACGCGAAGACACGGCGAAATGAATCTAGATGGAAGCGGCGACAGCGACGGCGAAGGGCTATCCCAATTGCGTGAAGATCTCGCTCGTGAGTTGACAAGTCCCATAGGGAATGTCACATATCCTCGTAACCTATCTTGGGGGAATTACTTCGATTATCTTCTATGTCCCACACTGTGCTACGAATTGGAATACCCACGCACTAAATCCATCAATTGGACGAATCTCGTGGCCAAGATCATCGCGACCTTCGGTTGTATCTTCTTGTTGACGGTGATCTCGGAAGAGTTCATCCTGCCTGTTCTGCAGGACTCGGAAGCGCGGCTCAGTGACACGGCGTCGGCGACGGAGAAGCTGTTGATCCTCTTAGAATCGATTTCGTGGCTTCTGTTCCCCTTCATGCTGACCTTGCTGCTTGTGTTCCTCGTGATATTCGAGTATGTTCTGGGCGCCTTTGCCGAGATCACGCGCTTCGCGGACCGCCATTTCTACAGCGACTGGTGGAACTGCTCGGATTGGATGGAGTTCAGCCGCGAGTGGAACGTGCCCGTGTACTCGTTCCTGCGCCGCCACGTGTACGCGACCTCGAAACCCAGTATCGGCCGCAGTAATGCGACATTCGTCACATTCCTCGTCTCCGCCATCGGTCACGAGATTGTCATGGCCTGTATCACGAAGAAGCTGCGCGGCTACGGCTTCGTCTGCCAGATGCTGCAACTTCCTATCGTGATGTTACAGCACACGCGCTGGGTCCGCACCCACAAGACGGCCAATAATGTGCTCTTCTGGATCAGCATGATCCTAGGCCTAAGTCTCGTAAGTCTGATTATAGTTATTCATTGATGCATCACTTTTCATTCCCGGCCCCCCTTCCATTGCATGTGACGTGTCAGTCGAACTAACTTGGGGAAAAAAACAATAGATCTGCTCCCTTTACGTTCTTATATAAATTGCCAAGAACCGTCCCCTCGATTTGGACACAGTAGATATAGATCAATCCAAAAAGCTGACGACGTCCGGGTACAAGGTAAGAAAAAAAGCCACCACTTAGGAACGGGACATCAGCAAGACTGGACAACCTGAGCTGTATATTTCGGCATTCATACCGGCCATGCTCTATCTCAAGCTTCCCAGTTTGTCTTATGTAATTATCATCGCATGAAGATATCATTTATGCAACGAACTGTCCCCAAACCCCTCGTATCTAGTCAACGTGTTGCTCATCTAGACCCAAGATAATAAAATAGATATCCAGGTATTCATTCGTATTTTGCGAAGTACGTCTAATTCGTATATTTGACATGTTTATCCTGGTGATGGCCGTGGAGATCTTTCCTTGGACCTACTTAGCTATCCAGCCGCGCAAATGAGGTAGTAACGAAATAAGACAATATTTGAACAACTGTCGATACAACCTCTAATGGATAGAACTCTAGACTCCCGCATAAAAATACAGTGCTCAGCGATACATGACCTAGGCTCATTAACCTCGTATCCACGATTTCACTATACAGCACAACGCAAACACTATCCGTAAAGGTGACTGACCGACGAACACGTTCCCCAGTGTCAATAAGCCAACAATCGAGTGTTTTGTTTCCCTGGGCACATGACCAGCCAGACGCTATAGACCCACGACACGGTGAGGAATGTAAGTGACTCGTGTTACGTTCGTTTGTTCGCCTTATCATTTCGAACCGGACTTCCGGCCGCCATGCTAATTGCGGAAGCCCGAAGGCGGATAGATTCACCTACTACTCTATCTATCCAGCATCTCCCGTTCAGTAGCCACACATCACACCATGCATGCTCATGTGATTAGACCTATCGCATAACCCATAGCATCACATGATCTAAACAATCTAATATAGCATAAATTAAACACTGGGATGAGAGATGATAACAAGAGCAGTAATAATGATAATGCTTGGTTCATGGCTTCCATTCATTCATAACAGAGACACTTGGCGTCCTTAGAAGGGGCGGGGAGAAGAAAAACAGCCCGTGCCACGCAACGAAGAAAGCAACTGCGCTATGTATGTAATGTGCGTTATGTACGTCATGTCAAAACTCCAGTTATGGAGTGAGGCTTTCCAGATAGAGATAACTGGTAGCCATCAGAGTTGTTGTTTCATAGCCTGCCCGTCCCCCTTTGGCTTGTGGCATCAAAACGAGTGTAACGGAGTTGAGAGAAGCTCTCCCTCTTTCCTTTCTCCCCTCTGTTGATAAAGGCTGAATGCCATCCCCCGCCCCAGTGTTCGAAAGAGACGGTTCCTCAAGATAACGTCTCAAGAAACTGGTTCAACCATGCCCACTAAATATCCTGCCATTTGTTGCGCCCCTAGCGAGCCGTTACGTAGTAAAAGGCCTCGTCCTCGCTATAGATGCAAATGTTATTGTATAATGTCGTATAGCGTGCATTGCATGCAACGTTGGAGATAAAATAAAAAAAAGATAACAAAAATAGAACCGAGATACACTGGGAAAACTGAGGATGATCATTATGATTTCTCATAAATATCGTAGAAAACTGTCGTAGTCCAAATGTCGGGGAAATGAGAGCTGGTCGTGAATTGTGGCATTAGTGGTATGGCCCAGGAAGTAAAATTAATAATTCTAAGGCAAACCTCCATCCATCGAGCTCTTCCCTGTTGATCCTATGAGGCAAGCAATGTCCCGTATTGTCAACCACTTTGTGCTGTGTCAAGCTCCAACGAGGAAGTCGTCAAATCGTTACTGCATTTCAACGAATTCTGTATGTGCAAATGATGTCAAGCAAGCTAAGATGCCCAGAACGCCGAATTCAAATCTTCCTAAACCAAGACAGAAACCAACCCAAAA